CATAATCAGCTGTGTAAAAGTCAGTGGGATAACATACAACTAAATTTATCTGTAAACCTGGAAGACTGAGACAARTATGCTGTGTGTTACTGGATCTTGTTTCTGTAATTCAAAAGACATCATCTTCTATAGTGACTTATTTACAGACGCTTGTGTCAAAACTCTGTCTCATATCRGAAGACTGGGCAGTAAGGAATGATCAAACATATAACAGTGTGCTTTCGTTTTACCTTTATGTGTATATGTTAGCATCCATAATCATGCATACAGTAGCATGAATTCTTGGGACAAAATCTGTTAYTTCATAAGGATCAACTCTTCAAGTTACTCCATACAGGAAAGGATGATGTATTTGTTTGCCTGATTACTTGAAATTTCCTTACTCAGCTAGTGCCCTCTGTCCTCCCATGTCCTTTTTGTCCTTTCAAGTTAGATTGTCTTTTGAAATTCTTAGTCTTAATTTCCAAGAGCAGAATAGCTACAGTTTTGTTTTAAATCTTTCCTGAAGAGTTACTTATTCAATACTTTGAGATAAATAAGTATTAAAATCTAATTTAAAATCTACTATGGATGACCCAGTCCCAGTGAGTATATCCATATGAGTCCAGTTGTGTTATGGGAACATTACTTTGTTCTGTTCTGCCATGATCCGAGAGTTTATTAATCCAACTTTCTCGTATTATACATTTTGAAAAAGCTCATTGTCTGCACAGTGATGGTTTGGTGATATAACAGTGATTTGTTCGTTATTGTTCTTCACATTAACAAAATGAAGGGATTTAATGCATGAATGGTCACAATGCATTTGTTGCTGGACTGTCTGCTACAACTGTTATCTTTATTTTTGCCCAAGATAACAAGAAGAGATTAATCTCTTCCTGACATGCTGAGAAGTATTATGTCTTCAAAAATGCTCATATTAAAAACAGCTGAAATACAGTACCTAGTTTTTATATAAGTAATTCTTTCTATTGCTATACAACTGTGAATAAAAAAATGTGGAGGACACTCATTCCTCAGCAACATCTAACAATAAAAGAAGTATCAGAACACCTGAGAAAGATCCACTAAGGCACCCAAATCTTCCTCCTTTTATCTGCCTTATTTCTTTATGAAGCACATATTCATGAATATATACATTTTTGCATATGTAGAAGTTCAAGTCTACTTGCTTTCAGATAAATTAAAGAGTAAGTTACATTTGGTAACTTGTTAGGTTTTTKTTGTTGTTGTTGAATTTCCAATTTAATTGAAGTTGTATTCCTGACACAAAACATTTTGAAGCCTGCAAGATTTGGAAAAAAAGGGCACTGTTATTCCCATCTCCTTCCATCYAAAGGTTTTGTCCCATTCCAAATACCAGCATTTCCTTTAGGTGAGGTTACAGCCTTCTGGTTGCTCTGTGCTGTCTGCCTGACCAGCCTGTCTCCCTAACGTCGTGGAGCAGACACAGCTGGTCTCCTAAGGGAGCTCCAACAGTACCRACAGGCCTCATTGACCTAACACACGTCTCTCTCCTTCACCTTCACTGAACTCTTAGAGGAAACTCRGGGTCTTATTGTAGAGAGATGGGGTTTTAGCCATTTATTTCCATGGGAACAGAATTTGAACACCAGCAACGGCTGCCCTCTTCTAGAGCAACCCCAAGTGTCTTGGCAAATGYGGTTTAAAAGCACTCTCAGTTTGATCCTGCTTCCTTCCCAGCACTGAAACTCAAGTTCAGGCCTACTTGTCTTATTAACTCGAGCAGACCATAGATGGGAACTACAGCAGGCATTTAGTGTTTTTTTTTCTGTGAAAATTAGATTATGGCTTAATGAGACATAATTTCAGGCTAAGTTTGTGATTTTTTCTTAATATTTGTGTTTGTTACTGTCAGGTAGAAGTCAAAGAAATAGCAGAACCTTCTGTTTTGAAGAGTTGGAATGGAATAGCTTGAAATTTGTCTTGAGCAAATAGTTTCTCACTTCTCTGAGAGGAAGATACCAACAGCAAATTTTCCGGATGTAGCATGTTCCATGTAATCCAGATGATTTTGAATTCAGAATATGAACATTTACAGATATCCAAATTATATTTTTTTAATAAGTCAGCAGTAGAATGGCTGAGAAAAGAGGCTAGGACATGGGCATTTATTTTCAGTCTGTAATTTCATATAGAAGAAAAACAGAACAGTAAACATTGTGGTCCTAAATTCAGAGGAATCTGTTTAGAAAGGAAGAATGTAAAAACAGATACAGTTCAAAAGATTCCTGCTTTTTTTCTTCTTGTTTTTTTTGTAAATATTTGGGATAAAATATCCTCTTTCTTTTGCAGTTATTTGATATTATTCACATAATGTTCATGTAGCTTGAATAGTTCCTAAGTATTTTCTTTCTGAATTGATAACCATAACACCTGATTGTGATTTTTTCTTTCTTTGTCTGAAGTAAATTTTACTATCTTTAAAGCACCACTGACTTTTCTTGAAACCATTCAAAAAGAATTCCACTTAGAAATAATTTTGCTGATATAGCGGGAGACGATATGTTCTTTCCAGTACCTTATGTAGTTATGTATTTGTTCAGTAGGATTGATTACACTCATGTTAAGTATTCATGTGCCTCTGATCTTGCAAAGCCTAGAGAGCTTTCCTTTCAAAGGATTTCAAGAGGGGCTGAAGTACACGGGAAATCTGAGACCTTTTGTGTACTTGGATCAGAGAAGCATGTTTGAACTCCTAAGATTCTGTCACTCTCTATCATATGACTTGAAAGAATGAAGAATATTGATTTGTTTTCTCTACATTTTGAAAACTCCTTACAGTTTGCTGTAGAGGAATCTGCCTGCGAAGGGCGTAGTCTCTTGTCCTTTTTCCATCCCCCTCCATACCTTCTGAGAAGTCAGCACAACTCTTTTCCAATTTATATCTAGATGGAGAGCAAAGCTGTTTCACAGGTCTCTTCAGTGGTGTGTAATAGTTCCTTCTCCACCCGCTTTAGCAAGACCCAAGCCTAAAAGAGGCTTTCTGATTGCAATGCTAAATGCTAAATAGAAATTGCAACAGCTTCCCATTTGTGGTTGGCTAATATACAGAAAGGATGTGTAGCAAACCATATAATTTACTAGCTTGCTGTACCACATCAGAATATGATGGCTAATAGCACATGTGTGTGTTAGCAGATGATCACGGCATGTGTGGATGTGCAACATTCAGAGTGAGTTTTGCCTGCTTCTCCTAATGCAATCACATGTTGCTTGAGAGTTGTGCAGCTCAGAACCAAAGGCTTTTGAAGCTTCAAATGTGACATTTATTAGGTCCTTCTCTAATGCTCTCTTAGCACCGGCTCCTCCCTCGCAGTCATATCAAAGTGAATTTTAAGTAACTGCTTTGAAATCATGCAGCATTGCGCAATTGAGTAAAACTAGTGAAAGTGCAGGGTAATCAGCACTGTAAAATCTCTCCATCTGCAGAGAGAATCTCCACAGCCACCTGGATGCTTTTAAACCCTCATTATTTTAAATTTAAAGTGGTTGGCTGCACCTCGCTTCTACCAAAATCGGATGCAATAATCCAAGGCAGAGGTGGGGAAAGACATTGGGGGTCACACAGCTAACTTTCTGCCAATAATAGGTTCTTCCCTGGAGTTCACTTTCTAGTGACTTTGGAAATTACTTGCCTGGTAAAATGGTAATGAAAAACAAAGCTGTTAAATCTTCAGGAGTGGGCAAAGGGATGCCCTCCCAAAGAGAAATTGTGCTTTTGATACAAGATTCTTCCTGTGCCTACATCCTTGCTTACACTTTTCAAGTGATCACAGTTTTAATTTATAATTTCTGACCTACTTTGAGTTGTAACCAAGAGGTTGATGGAGGTGAGCTAATTTTAATAGTTTATGAAGTTACCTAATCCTTTAAACGAATCATTATTTTTATTCCAAATAAGTAAGCAGCTCAAATTAACCCCGTATTGCATCTTTTCCTTCAAAACTCTTTTATTCTTTCAGTATATTTATGCTCCTGGAAACGGGAAACCACAGAAAAGCTAGATTTCTTCTCTTTCAAAAGCCCCAAAGTTCCTCAAAAAATTCTGATGTGAAATATCATTCTTGGATTTCTTTGAACTACACCATCCATGATTGACYTCTCAGTTGATCTAGGCATCAAAGGCCAAGCCTGACATAATACTTAACAACTAGAATTTGGCCCCAGATTTAGGGAAGAAGCGGCCAATGCCTGCTCCCACCAGCAAGCTCAGTATGGCTTGGGCTGAAAGCTATTTTAGGAGTTGGGTGGATGGGAAAAGACACCAAGTTCCCTTCCTGTTGTAACCAATTGACATGTGCTGGTTTCTTCACAAGAGGCTTGAGACTGAGCTCCCTGTTTGGGTCTGGGGCTCTGCAAATCTGCGCTGTTCGACATGGCACCAGGCTCCACCACTCAGAGACCTCTGTTTGGAGAGGAAAAGAGTTTTCTCAGCTGCCAACTCTCTTAAAAGAAAAGTTAAGAGGAAAAGAAAGCTAATTGAACTGTGCTTGGCAAAAGACTTTATTATATTCCATTTACCCAGATTTTAAAGGATGGAGTGCTAAGAAACACGAAAATAGTGAAAGCACTTATTCCCTAAACAGATTCTTGCAAAGTTTTTACAATAAAGACAGAAAGCTGCTTTAGTAAAGCAGTGTTTATCTTGCACTAATGCTGGTCATGAATATGTGTCTAACTAAGCTGGAACTAATGTCTGACTCCACTATTCCACTATAGCAACTTAACATTCTGCGTAGGCTGATTATTTTTTCAACAATATTTGCTAGATTCTTTTAAGGGCTGCCAGTATATATTTTTTGAAGCTTAGTTAGTAAGAACAGCTGCCAGTGGAGTCAAGGCTAAAAAAGGCAAAAAAATCTGCAGAAGGCAAGATTTTACTTCAAAAGATCTGTATTACAAAGCACTACTGTTGCTGGTATAATCACTTTCTTTGGGGGGGATGCTAATATAGACTGGGTTTCTTGTCTTCACAGCCCCCACTGAGCCTTTGCTGTGCAAATTTGCTGACGGAGGGCAAAAGAAGCGTCAGAATCAAAGCAAATACACGCAGAATGGAAGGCCGTGGCCCAGAGAAGGAGAGGTAAGTGCCACGTGGCAGTTATTTCCCCGGGGCTTGGGCGAAGTGAGCTGCAGACCTGGAGGTCTACCTTGTTGGGCTGTGAAGGAATCAGGTGGCAGACAAAATACAAGAGCTTCAYACAGAAAAAGTGAGGGTTAGGGTGTAAGGGCAGGCAGAGGGAGCCTTGTAGTGATGACCTTGTAATGATGTGTATGGAGTAAAGTCACGGGAAGGGGAATTTCAGAGCTGGGGGTGGAACTTGGCCCTGACACCTGGGGAACTCGCTGTCTGCAACCAGACTTGAACCCAATGAAACTTAGACTTCAACCTTGAAATGAARGATTTATTTACATCTCAGCAATGCAACAACCTTATATTTTATATGTATTTCCTGGGGCTAGAACAGCATCACGGAATGTGGAGGCTGTTACAGAATGGAAAGAGGTACTTGCTCATCTAGATTTATTGTCCGTGCAAAGGGACTGCAAAAGCTTATCTGAGTTGGGATCTTCATTTTGTCCAGTCAAAACAGTTTACAGTAGGCTCGTTTCCATCATGTGCACAAAGTAAAAACAAAACAAAACAAACCAAAAAAAAAAAAAAAACACCAAAAAACAGTTGCTTTCTGCTTAGCTATAAATAGTCTCTTACTGGAGTTTCTTTTCCATGCACTTCTATATCAAATGACTCCAAGTGTGGGTGAAATAAGAAAAGAATTTCTTTGACTCTTCAAGAGTTTATTTTTGTTGAATGTTATTATGGGATAAAGTCACTTGAATAAATGAGGTAAATCTGGTTAGAGTACCTTCTGGTACATTATTATAGTTATGAAGGCAGAAGGACTGACAAATGTTTCCATCCAAAAAAAAAAAAAGTTCTTTGTGTTTATCATTGAGACTACAAAGGAAAAAAAAACTTTGCTCAATTGTGACCCACTACTGTGACCCACTAGAGTAAGTGTTCCTCTCTCCTCTCCTCTCCTCTCCTCTCCTCTCCTCTCCTCTCCCCTTGTTTTGCCTTGCCTTGCCTTCCCTTCTTTTACTTTTCTTTTCCTCTTATTTTCCTTTTCCATTTCTTATCCTTTTCTTCTTTCTTTCCCAAGAGATTTCTGCTATATTTAGTTTTACAAAGCAAAAAAGATTTATTATTTCAAAGTTGGTTGTTTCTAGAGGGTTTTTTGCTTTTCCCTAACTACTTGATTTGGTAGTGGATACTTTTTGGACCATTAGTTGGTGACATATATACTCTAGCACGATTGGTGAGCTCCTAAAACAAACAGAACAGCCTCTTGAAAGCATAAAAATTGCTCCCTTCAGCAAGGTGGTTTGTACACTGTTCCAACAAAAATGCCCCAAAGTATTTTTAGCTCTGTGGACTCAAAGTGCCAGCTTGGCAGCTACATTTGCTACAAGTTTGCAGGAGCCTCCAAAGGTTCATTGCAGTCGTTGACTCAAAAAATGGAGATGTCTGCATAGGARCCATTATGGTTTGTCATGTTAAGGATCTACCAAAGAATGAGCGCTCCAAAAGTGCTTCAAGCAGGAGACTCAGCTCGTAGCATATAAGGCTGTAAAACCAAAGGCATCTAGGAGGTAGTAACAACCCCTCCAAAAGGTCAGTAATCTCTATATTAAACAGCTTTGAAATCCCTGTTTAAATAGTAAATGCTTTTGCAGACGTTATCTCCACTGTTGCATACTTCCTCAAATCAATAAGCAAGCAAACATAAAACTGAAGCCACCAAGCTGCCGTTRCACCTTATGGCCTCAGAGCATGGACTTATTGTACCTTATGCAGTGCATTTGCTGATCTGTCTGCAATGGCTCCTAGTAAGGACTGTAGTATTTGAACTAGAGGCAGAGTATGTTTAGTGTGTTAGTAGTGYAGAAATGCAAAAACTACTGCTCAGTGCTGGGAGACATCATTCCTCCTTGTTTGCAGTCAACTATCAAACTACAAAGCTGCTATCACAATATAATATGCAAACTTGGAAAGATTACAAAAATGGAGGCTCACAAATATTCCAAGCTAGGAATATGCTCTGTAGAAATATGGTTTCTCAGATTTTACTGACTTTTGGATAACATTTTTTTGCACACTGGGTATTTATTACTTGTTCAAGCACAGGAGACAATAATGAATGCTTTTACCAGAAGTCACTTACTCATTAGATTTCTTCTACACTATCATATAATTTTCTTTTTTCCAAACTAAAATCCTTCTGTGGAATTAATCTTACATGCAGTTAAGTTTTCCTACCTCATTGTCCTTGTAAAGACAAGACATGTCTTTAAGTTCTTCTCATTGTAGCAGTGCTCGGGTAACCCTCCTACTATTATTCCCATTCTCACTCTTGGGGAATAGTGAGAAGGAGTTGTTAGGAAGACAAGTGTCATAGGTCTGATTATGGATGAAATCTGAAAATATGCCCTGCATCTGCCCTGTTTCTTGAATTCTTACCCAGAACAGCATTGAAATAGTATCCGAGAGAAGAGTCAGGCCTCCAACTGGAGTGGGCAGAGCAGAAACCCAACAGCTGGGCAGAATGCTTAGAAACACGGGGAAAATGGGAGGAAATTTAGTGGGGAAGAGCAGATTGCCATGGTGTTACCTGCTGTTCTCCAAGTTTTTCTTCTCTTTTATGGAGAGCTTCTATGGAATTTTATAGGAGAAGCTTACCTTTTGTGGTAAAGTTTTCAGGCCACACTACAGAATGCAATAGCAGATTTTATTCCTGCCATACATTTTTGCAGATTGCTTCATAACCATACAGAAGTGCYGTAGCTCTCTGCTAAATTCAGGCTGGCTGGTCCTCCGGCCGAATACAGCCATTGAAATCCTGGCAGCAGTGTAGTTTGGCCTGAAATCATCACTTCAGGGTACAGATAGTCTGTTGAGAGGGGAAAAAAATAAAAAAAGGGCAATTTTTTTTCCCTTTTTTTTTTTTTTTTGCCCATATTTTGTTCTTGCTGTGCTTAGAGAGGCAGCAGAGTGGTCCCAGTGTCTGAATGCAGCGTTTCGCCCCGAGCTGCCCATGGCCCCTGGATGCCCTGCATGTCCCACTGCCTGAGCCAGGGAGCACCATCATCTAGAAAGCAGGACTGATAATTTTAGCTGTTTCCTAATTCTGCTTTGGAATTTGGGTACAGCCAGTTCTGTGCCTTTTAAAGTGAGATCTTTAGGAATATACTGAATTTCTCTTGGGTTTTGTGCATTCTTTTTTTTTTTTTTTTATTTGGTTCTTGTTTACTTGGGGTTTCTATCCAAAGGGTATTTGTAATCAGTGAAGAATGCACAACCCCTTGTAGCATTTTCTAATCCTCATGCTTCCACTCTGCTTTGAAGCCTCGGCAAATATTCAGCAGATTGACTGAGGCATTTGACGGAGGATTTATGATGGCCAACAAATTCCAGGCTAAGGATCTGAGGGCTTGGATCACTGATGGCTTTTTTAAAGGTTGTCAAATTCTGCATCTAGCATACAGGTGCAACAAATGTACAGACTGATAAATGCAAGCCTGCAAATGTCAGGAATATTTCACGCRAAAATCTGTTGTAATCACTGGCACCATTTCTGCACAAATTTATCTGTTTTGATTTCTGATTCACACTAGTTTAAGCGAGAGGGGAGTTCAGCCTCTGTTTTGAAATGCTCCCTGACAAGATCATATTGAAGAGATGGTGAGGGAGGTAATCATATTCAAATTCTGTCTGCAAAACATTTGATTTAATTTATCTCTAAATTGCAATTGACATGTCTCGAGACTGGTGATATTCCTCAGAAACAAAAAAAAGTCATTAGCTAAAGATGCAACTGAGGAGTCAAGAATAGTTATGAATTCAGGCTAGATTGGGTTACGGACTGCAACTTAAATAGTGTAAACTTAATGTTTTACTGCAGATTCACTGGTTCATTGTTTTGATTATTCTGAAATAAATCTCTTTTGATATGCATATTAAAATGTGAATTTATTTGAAATGTATTTGGTAGAAAGGGAAAGATCTCACATAAACTGAAAATGAAAGAAATGCTTTCATTAAGGCAAGTTAGTTTTTATTGTTTACTTTTTTATAGAAAGAACAGCTGTGGAAATGGTAGCATTTCTGTATCTGGTCAGCTCAAAGTGATTTGGTATTTATTCACTCTCTGAGATGAACAAGCCAATATTTTTKGACACATCATTTGCAAGTTTCTGTAAAATTTATACCATTTAAATATTTGTGTTGTCATTCTAGCAATTACATATCATCATTAAAGTCACAAGTGAAGATATTCACTGTTAATTGTGACCTTATAGTCACTGAGTTTGGTCTGAGTCAACTTTTCCGAATTTCTACCTATAATTCTTCCGTTTTGTTTTGCCTCTGTAATCTGGGTTACTTTTTCTCTTCTCATTAGCCTCTTCCTTCTCTCCCTCCTTTCTCCTTTGTTTTCTTTCAAAATCACTTGGTGAAATGTCTAAAGAATTCAACATGTTTTTAATTGCTTCCTTAAAAAATACAGTGAACTAGTAGCTTGGGAATGTCACTTTGTTAACATTTTTTCTTTTTATCTATCTGCTACTCATTACAATTCTATCCAATTCAAACAGTAATTTAGAGGGGAAAACATTTTAAAAAAAAAGTAATTTGGAATGTTTCCTGCTTTTTGTGTACAGTCAATACCAATGAAGGGTTGATCCTGYTTTTTGCCAACAGCCCCTTCTTTACTAGCAGCAAGCATTGAGAGTGCTGGACATATTTACAGCTGACACAAAGATGTTGTTTGATACTTCCAAAGAGATAGGTACTACGTAGTTGTGCTCCATCCTCTGTGTCAAGGGCTGGTGCATTTTATACCTAGACAAATGGTTATTCTTTCCTTTGGGAGGTAATTTCCAGAGCAGTCCAGATCAGGAATACGCACATGCAGAAACCAGGCATGGAAGCATTTTTTGCATATATTTTTTGCATGGTTGTATYAGACATTGGTCAGTATYTTACGTAGGTATGTTCAGCAAAAKTAAGCAAAGAGAGGAATT